CAGAGGAGAGCTTGTCATACCCCAGAGGCCTGGGAGCTCAGCATCTTAGGAGAGCTTTCCTTAAAATCTCCTCTTGTCATTTTTAAGTTCACAATTTTACATTCTATGCCTTAATGTAGCTCTGCTTCTTGTTTCCTCACACGCTCGAAAGTATAAAATGTTATTTTCCTAACCTCGGGGAGACACTTTTCTCTATTCCTTCCAAACCCCAGGCCCCGGACTTGAACTTGGGCCCTGGAGGGCTGGGGGGCTAGCGAGCCAGCCCTGTCAGCCCACTGGCGAGTGCACGCGCGGCCTGCGACTCAGGACACAGGCTGGCAGGGTCCGCCCTGGACGGTGGCCCGGGTTGGCCGGCAGACGCCCGCACCTCTCGTGAAGGAGCAGCTGCCCTGCTCCTTGCAGGTGGCCCCACAGACGCTGCCAGCACCACGGGCATTTCCCCGCGGACGGAAAGGAACGAGGACTCCCTTTTCCTCCCCTGACCCTCTGCAAGTGTGTGGGCTCAGCTTCTCAGGCTGCGGCTGGGCCAGGAGATCTGGTTTCTGCGTCCCAGACCCGAGGCTGCCGCCGGCTTCCTGGCTGACCTTGGACAGATGGCTGTGTTTTGTCTGTGACTCTTTTTCCACCGTCAGCTGCCCTTAGCTCACTGCTAGGGACACTGGGGGCGTATCAGCAGCGGCCTCGAGAAGAAGACAATAGTTCCACACACAGAGCTGGGCACGTGAACTGAGGGTCCGTATCACAGAGAGAGGGGCCCAGACCCCCTCCAGGGATGCAGCCCCTGGGGTGCTAGAACGTTCATCATGGAAAATTCCAGAAAAACTGTTCCAAAGCAATGCCATCCCCCAAAGGGTACCAGAGACCTCCATGGAGGGGGGCAGAGTGCAGTAGGAAGTGGGGGGGACACAGTGAAGGCACCCTGTCCTCCCTCCTTCTCTAAGCTTCTCAGAGCCACCGCCTCCCGCCTGCGTTCTCCTCCCCCTACCCCGGACCTCGGGAACCCCTGCCCCCACTCCGCCTAACTGGTGCCCAGGAGGTCACCTCGTCATTGCAGATCCAAGGGCCACTCCCCAGAACGCAGCTCACCACCCTCATCCCGCCGCTTGGACAACCTTGACCTGTTTCACTTAAACGCTCTACCCACTGGGGTAGCCAAGGCAGAGCCCGGGACCGGAACTGGGGGCAGGTAGTTCACGCGGGAGGAGGCCCAGGAGGCAGAAGGGAGATGGTGGGGACAAGGAAAGAGCACGTGTTCTCGGGCACCTGGGGCTCCACTCCCCCTTGCTCCCCTCTGAACAACGTGCAGCATGTGCCCTGGGGTGACCGCTGCAAAGGACAAAAGCTGGGGCGTGAGCTGTGCCCCCACTGTCACTTCTCCAGGGCAGGAGGACGGAGAGCCGCAGCGTGTGCTTGCGGGGGGAACCCACCTGCGTGCATGGGAAGCGTCCACGCCGCAGCCACGGTCAGTGGTGGACCAAGGGATGACTCGGGGGACACCAGGGTGTCCCCTGGCCTTGGCCTCCCTGACAGCTCGCCCCCTGTGGCCCTCCTCCTGCCCTGCGACACGCCTCTCCACCTGTTTCCAGGGCCTCTGAGCCCCGCCCCTCACAGGCTCCCCGACCCACCCTGCTCCCCGCGGACTCCCGCCCTCTTGACTGTCCATCCAATGCCCTCGGCTTGTTTCCTTGGCTGCACTAAGCACATTGTGTGAACACTCTTCTGTTTGAGCTTCTTCCTCCCCCAAGAAACTTCTTAAAAGCTGGGACAGGCCTTCCTCTGGTGGCCTGTTACCTAACACAGTGCTGGGCACACAGCAGGAGCAGCTCCAGGCAGCATCGACTGAGGGCACCAGGCAGCGTGTGCAGAAAGCTGGGCAGGTCTGTAGCTCAAGGCGCTCGCTGACACATCTAGCATTTTGACGGGGCCTCAGCTGAGGCCGTCAACCAGAGCGTCCACAGGGAGCCCCTCTAGCATGGTGGTCTCGGGGCAGCTGGACTTGCCATACAGAGGCTCAGAGGTCCAGCCAACCAGGAGGAGGCTGCGGGAAGTCACAGAGCATCCCTTCCGTCACACTCCACGGGTAGAAGCAGACACGAGCCCACGCAGATTCAGGGAGAAGGACATAGACCCCGCCCCTTCATGGGAGGAATGTCAGAGTTTGTGGTCATGTTTTTAAACCTCTCCCGTTCTGTGTGGTGGGGAAGCAATACAGGAATAGGGAATTGCGGCTAAAATAAAATAAATAAGAAATTCTATGTTGAATGGCGGCTCCATTCAACATGACTAATCCCAGGAACCTATGACCATCACCTTATTTGGCAAAAAAAAATCTTTGCAGAGGAAATTAACTTAAGGCTCTTAACACGAGATCATCCTGGATTAACCGGGTGGGTCCTAAATCCAACGGCAGGTGACCCCATAAGAGTGAGGCAGAGGGAGATTAGACAGAAGAGGACGACACACAGGAAGGGCCACACAAGGATGAGGCAAGGATGGAGTCATGCAGCCACCAGTCAAGGAGCGCAGGGAGCTGCCCAAAGCCGTATGAAGCAGGGGGGCTTCTCCCCAGAGCCTCCAGAGGGAGCGAGGCCCGGCAACACCTTGGTTTTGGGCTTCTAGTCTGAGCATCTGTGAGATGATAAACTTCCGATTTTTAAAAATTATATTTTATTCAAGTATAGTTGATTTACAGTGTTGTGTAAATTTCTGCTGTTCAACAAAGTGACTCAGTTATACATATATATGGTCTCTGTCATATTGTTTTCCATTATGGTTTATCCCAGGATATTGAATATTGTTCCCTGTGCTCTACAGCAGGACCTTGTTGTTTATCCATCTTATATATAATAGTTTGCATCTGCTAATCCCAAACTACTAATCCTTCCCTTCCCCACTCCCTCTCCCCGTTTGCAACCACAAGCCTGTTTTCTCTGGCTGTGAGTCTGTTTTGTAGATAAGTTCATTTGTGTCATTTTTAGATTCCACATGTAAGTGATATCATATGGTATTTGTCTTTCTCTGCCTGACTTACTTCACTTAGTATGATAATCTCTAGGCCCATCCATGTTGCTGCAAATAGCATTATTTCATTCTTTTTCATGGCTGAGTAGTATTCCATTGTGTGTGTGTGTGTGTGTGTGTGTGTGTGTGTGTGTGTGTATTTATTTATTTATTTATCTCACATCTCCTTCATCCATTCATCTGTTGATGGACAGTTAGGCTGCTTCCATGTCTTGGCTATTGTGAATAGTGCTGCTGAGAACACAGGGGTGCAGGTATCTTTTTGAATCAGAGCTTTGTCTGGATCTATGCCCAGCAGTGGGATTGCTGGATCATACGGCAACTCTATTTTTAAGCTTCCAATGTTTGAAGTCACTGGTTTGTGGTAGTTTGTCATGGCAGCCCCAGGAGACTAATACAAACTGAAACATAATAATGTAACAGGATTTTTTTAAAGGGACTCTTTCCATCTTCGTTTTGACTGAGGCCCAAAAGCCAAGGCCGACCAAATAGGTGGTAAGATGCCAGCACAGCAAGGGGCCCCGGACCAGATGCACAGACACCAGGTGCACGATCCTCTGTCTCCCAACCACCGCAAGGTCACGAAGGGCTGAATCTCAAGAGGCCAGAAGGGCGGAGAGTCCTCTGAAGAAAGTGGCCGGTGTGGGGGAGGCCTGCCCCCCTGGGAATGAGTGGGGATGCAGCCGCCTCGCCTCATGCCTGGGAATCTGAAGGCAGGAGGCTGTGGCCATTGGCCCACCGTGAGGGTGAGAGAGGCTGGGACCAGAGCCACTTCAGCTCCCGTCGGGACCCAGCCCTTCCCTGGCCTTCACCTCTCCCCTCTGGACTTTCCACGTGGAAGCTCCGGGAACAGCCAGGTGAGTGGTGAGGAGGGTGGGAGCTCAGGTCTGAGAAATAGCGAAAGAGCTGCCCCTACCCGCTCGCCCACTGCTGGCAGTGCCCACCTGAGCTGGGCGGGACCGCCACATGCAGAGTTTGGGTGATTACACTGCACTGGGCATATCAGGTGTTAAAATGAGTCAATTCTTCCATCTGAAAAGGGGCCAGAGGACATTTTGTCACCTAAGACTGAGCAGATGAGCAGACACCAGCTAGAGGTTTCTTCCTGGGGCCCCACAGGGCACATGGGAATGGTCCCAGGGCCAAGAACAAGGCGTGGGGACCACGACGGCTCCAGTTACGGGGACGGGAATATTGACAGCTCCCGGGCACGTCACACCACACCTGGCTGGCATGCTCCCTGGCTGGGGTACTAGCATCTACCTGTGTGTTCTCTCTTTTTTAAATTTTTTTTTTAATTGAGGCAAAATTCACATAACACAAAATTAACCATTTTAAAGCAAACAATTCAGGAGCATTTAGTATTTTCACAATGTTGTGTAACCACCACCTCTGATTCCAAAACATTTTCATCACCCCAAATAGAAACCCCGTACCCATTAAGCATTTGTCCCCTATTCACCCTGCCCCCAGCCCCTGGATGTTTCATATAAACGGAATCATACGCTGAGTGACCTTCTGTGTATGGGATCCAGATAAGCCACCTGCGCCAAGTCCAAGCTCAGCTCCGCTTTCGAGGAACCCAGCAAAGGCTCCCATCACCATCCACAGCAGGGGCCTCGGTTCAGGCACTCCCCGCCCAGGCCACCACCCCGCTGACACGATATCCGACCTGGAGGCCAGGAGGGGCCTCTTACCTCTGCTCCGAGCACATCACAAGAAAAAGCAAACCACCCAGTTCATCCTGATGTTGCCAAAACCCAAGACAAGAATTCCACCTCAAGGCGCTTCCTTTCCCAAGAACACACGGGCAGCTGGGCTTCCGTGAAATCACAGTCTCCAGTTCCGGACACCCAAGGCTTTCTGCCACCCCCCCCCCCCCACCACCCGGCACCTTCCCTGTGCACAGACATCACTGGAGGAGGAACCCGGGCTGCACTCTGCCTGCTCCAGGGTTCCGTTTACTCACGTTTGTCCAGATGTGCATGACTCAGACCAAGGGACTGCCCTGTACTCCGCCTCCAGAAACCCCGAGGGTCCCGACAGCCGGGACATGTGAGCGGCTACAGCCTAAAACCCCCGCAGGCCCCAGCTGGCTGTCGGCCCCGCCCCTCCCTCTGCCTCCTCCCCCACAGGATCCTGACTGCCTCCCAGCCCTGCCCCCACCCGCTTTCCAGGTCCCCAAGCTGCAAGGGTCCAGGGCAGTGTGATTGTGTCACGTCTGGCTTCGCGGTTTGGGGTCTTCCAGGCATTTACTGGGCCCACCGCCCATCCCGGGGCCAGGCTGATAGAGGGCCCGGGCCTGAGGGTGCTGACCTCACAAAAGTGGTCACTCCCCACTTCTTTAAGGAACCTGTCCTGGTCTCCTTTTCCTACCCACCCCATCCCTTCTCGCCTCCACTTGCAAGGGAACACACCCCCGCAAGCCCTCCCTTTACCTGCTGTCACCCCTGCTAGACACCAGCTCTCCATCCCCGGTGACCACCTAACACCGGCGGGGCTCAGCGAATGTCTGTTGACTGAATTGCACACGCGCCATACACACAACACACACGCAAGCTTACACACACATGCACGCACACAGCACAACACACACGGCCCACATCACACACAGCAGCCCTCTGTCTCGGCTACATGGTGGAAGCGCCTGAGTTGCTTAACAAGGCACTGAAGCCGGGTCATCCCCGGGGATCCTGATTCGGTGGGTCTGGGCTGGCTGGGCTTTCCGAATCCCCCAGGTGAGCCCAGTGTGCGGCCCCAGTGGTTCTCAAGCATCAGGATCACCTGGCAGACTTGTTAGAGCACAGGCTTCTGGGCCCCCGGCAGGCCTGCAGTGGGGCCCTAGGACCTGCACTTCTCACGGCAGGGGCAGGGGGTGGGGGACCCTCAGGACACGGAGTAAGTGTCTTCTCGGGGCAGAGCTGGGAGCAAAGGGGCAGGGACCAGGGACATGGAGGGGCCTGGGGAGGCGAGGGGCCGGTGGAAGGCAGAGGACAGGGGAGGGGGCTGGCGGGGCAGTAAGCGCAGACCCCACGGGATTTGAGAAGACAGATTAGAGGAGGCGGCCGACTTTGCTGCCATGAGGCAGTGAGTGAGCCCAGGTGTCCTCCGCCCTCGCTCCCGGGTGTCCCTGGGGCCTGGAGTGGGCTGAGTCAGCCACCAGCATCTTCCCCAGACAAGGCACAGCCTCCCCGCCGACCTCCCCGCCGGCCTCCCTGCCTCCTCTCTGCCCCACCACCATCCCTTCTCCACTTGGCAGCTCCAGGGATTGTCCCATAAATGTCAGCCAGACTGTGTCACTCCCCTTGCTTAAAATCCTCCCAAGAGGTCCCCCAGGACACCTGAACTAAGTTCAAACCCTACGTCCATTGGCCATGCCCTTCTGCAGAGGCCTCGAGACCTCCGCACAACTGAGGGGGCCCCAGATGTGGGCTCTGAAGCCACCGCCACTCGTGCAGAGTCACTGCCTCCCGAGGGCTGCCCCCAGCCCATTCCTGGGGCACATGGGGCCCTCTTGCGGGCCATGTTAGCACCAGGGCTCGCTGAAGGCCTTGCTGAACCTTCCGGAGATGCACGGCATCTAGGACACACCCACCCTGCCTTCCCTCTCTTGGGGTTGGACTTACATAAACCCTGGGGAACTTCAGCCTTTGCCTTCATTAACTGATCTTAATATAAGGGGATCCCCTAGTTATAATGCTACACAGGAGCAAAAGGACACCAGTTCTGTGACCCTGCTAAGTACTCCTTTCCACCCACGGAGAGACCCGCTGTCTGAGGGCAGCTTCCCCTGTGCCAAAGATGTGGGACAAGTGATTTAATAGGGAAGCATTCCCAGGGAAAACTGGCCAGGCGCGAGGAGTAGGACGGGGAAGGGGAGGAACTGGCAGGGATGGACGTCAGCTCGACGTCATCTGGGTGTGTGGGATCTTCCTTGAGGCACCCTGACGACCTCGCACGTATCCAAGCACCATGGAGGCAGAGGCTTGAACCACAGCTGATCTGAACGTGGTGGGAAGGCAGGATAACGCCCCCAGAGATGTCCACACCCCAATCCGTGGAACCTGTGGACACGCCACCTTCTACAGCAAAAAGCACTTCTCAGGTGGGATTGGATGAAGATTCTGAGATGGGAAGACATCCTGGATTATCCGGGTGGCCCAACGTGATACAGGGGTCCTTGTGAGAAGGAGAAAGATTCCACTATGAAGACAGGTTGCAGTGGCCCGATTGCCACGGGGCCGCGGGCCGGGGGAACGCAGGTGGCCTCCAGATGTGGGAAAAGGCCAGGAGAAGGATCCTCCCCCTGAGACTTTAGAGGGAGTGTGGCCCTGCAACACCTCGATTTTAGCCCAGAGGAACGCACGGCAAGCTTCTGGCCTCCGGAGCTGTGCGGTAATAAATTTGTGCTAAGCCCCCAAGCCTGCGATAATTTGTGAGAGCAGCAGCAGGAATCTAACCCTGAGCCTAGGGAACACCTTGATCCTCAGAGCAGGAGAGGGCGGGGGCAGGGAGGAGGCTGTCCTGAGGCCAGTCCTCCTGGGGTCCTGGCTCTGCAGCTCAGCAAGGCGCATCCCGGTCAGCCGGCCTCTGGTGTTGATGTCCTCCTTTTCTGGTGTGTGGGACAAGGGCCTGGGAGGCTGACACCTTTGGCTTCTCTTCTCACTGTCTATGTGTGTAATAAACTGTGGAATCTAAAAGTGGGTGGTTGTGTATTCATTAACCCAGTCCCTGAGGGCTTGGTGCTGGCCTGGCCTGTGTGTTTGAGAGCGTGACCCAGGCCCAGCCTCAGCAGACCCGCAGGGGGCTGGGCAGGAATTACACCCAAAGGGAGGGGAGCTGCCCAGCACGGAGACTTAGACCCCCAGGCCCTCCAGGCTCTAAGCAGTGCCCAAGGGCAGGCGCCTGAAGCCGCAGGTATGCACATTAGCAGCAAAGCACACAGGTGCTGGCAAAGGGATCCCAACAGCCCGGGGTGGGGGGCGGTGGGGGGCAGGAAGAGATGAGGCTGTAGAGTTTACTTCACCCACCGAGAATTAGGAAGACTTGCCTCGGTGATGGACTCAGACCCCACGGACTGAAAGTGGACATTCAGCCCGTCCTGTGTAGCTGTAGGAGCACCAGCGAGGTCCCTGCTCCCCGGCGGCCATCAGGGACGCCATTAATACTCCTGCCAACGGCCAGGGAGGCGACGGGGGCTGTCCACAGACCAGGAAAGGTGGTTGTTTCCTTCAAGAAATACAAGGGCCCAAGCTGCACTTTTCATGCCAAACTACTCATGGAAGCCAGTGGGCAGCCGGCCACCCCAGGATTCTCAGAGCCCAGCGCCTCAGAAGGTGACTCCACCTGGACGCCGGCCAAGCTGACAAGGGTGGCCCTTCAGCGACAGCACAAAGGGGACACCTCTGCTCTCCTGTCTGGATGCACCTTTATCTTTTCTTTCACTAAACCCAGCTCCCCCCCACCTCCATGCACCACCCGCCCCAACCCCCTGCCCCCTGGGAGGTTTCCATCCCCTGTATCTTCCCTCTGGCTTCTCTCCTTCTCTCCTTCCAATTTAGCCATGCCGAAGCCCCCAGGCACCTGGAGCACGCTCAGCCACAAACACCCTCAGGGACAATGACGAGTTTCACTCACGATCTGGAAGAAAAGACTGGAGGGAAGGAGGTGGGTTTAAATCGGAAGGTGGCGAACCTTTTTTTGCAAAGGACCGATGGGAACTCTTTTAGACTTCACAGGCCCTAGAGTCTATCACAACCAGCCAACTTTGTAGCTCCTCTGTAGCACAAAAGCAGCCACAGACAATATGTAAATAAGTGGGCCTGGCTGGGTTCTAGAAAACTAATTATGCAAACAGCCAACAGGCTGATTTGGCCTGCGGGCAGTTTGCCAGCTCGTGGTTTACATGTTCACAGAATCCAACAAGTTAAAATTAGAAGGAACTTAGCCATTCAGTCCAGGGATGGCAGATGGGCTTCAGCCCACCTACTGACTCTGATTCTCAGTAGTGGCTCCTGGCACACTTGTGTTGAGAAGGATTCTGAGGCCAACGCTCAGCTCAGAGGTAAAGGGTCATAATTGAATAGCATCCTATGCCATGGGCAGGGAGGGGGCGGTGGCAGCCCCAGTGCCTTGTATTGACCACTTGATTAACTAAACTCCTGCATTTTATATGTGAATAGCTAGACCCAGAGAGGTCAAGTGACTTTCTCAAGACTGCACAGCTAAACCCAAGGGAGTTGCTTATTTTTTTTTAATTAATTAATTTATTTGGCTGTGTTGGGTCTTTGTTGCTGCATGCAGGCTTTCTCTAGTTGCGGCGAGCGGGGGCTCCTCTTCATTGTGGTGCACGGGCTTCTCATTGCAGTGGCTTCTTTTGTTGCAGAACACGGGCTCTAGGCGCGTGGGCTTCAGTAGCTGTGGCAGGTGGGCTCAGTAGTTGTGGCTCGTGGGCTCTAGAGTGTAAGTTCAGTAGTTGTGGTGCACAGGCTTAGTTGCTCCACAGCATGTGGGATCTTGCTGGACCAGGGCTCAAACTCGTGTCCCCTGCATTGGCAGGCGGATTCTTAACCACTGCGCCACCAGGGAAGTCCAAGGGAGCTGCTTATCAGCCAGTTTCTTCATTTTACTCTGCAGCAGAATGGCAAGTTACGTTTATCCCGTTGTCTCATCTTCACGTCTAAACCAAAGAATTCCCCGAGGCCCTTTCTACCAAGTTTCCTAGCCTGGCCTCTTGAGAGCTAAGTGACAGAGCCCAGGCCCCAGCTAGTCCTTGATTGGTGAGAATCGACGTTCTGGGGGCTTTCACACCCATCAAAACATCAAATTCGTGATGTTTGAAGCATTGAAAGCCACTCCCATGGAGCGCTGCCTGCCGGGTCCTTGTTCATAGTGGGGCATGAAGTGGCCCCATGATAAGCGGTGGTTTCCCTCCTTGGCAGGAAATGTTTTGCAAGCGTTGTGGACCACTATCTTGTGGTCCCTGCTGGGCTGAGGCTGATCTCGAGCCCACATCAACATTCTGAAACATCAAGCTCTGGTATTTCTCACCCGTGGGTC